TAATTTCCCCGAATCTATCGTTATCAGAACAAGAATTTACATAACGCTACCCTCCTGCGCATAAAACGCAGGAACCGAAAGGAAGAAGAGAACCAAACGATCTGTTCACCCACTCTCCAATTTCCCAATTTCGTGGCCCAAAGAACCATCTGCTGTTAGAAATCGAACAATTACAATTATGAAATACTTAAAAAACCCATTTTCATGCAACAGAAAATGGAATAAAGAGCGAATTAAATAAAACAGAAGATAACCATATTCGGAAGAACAGAATGAAACAACGAAAAAAAAGAAAAAAAAAAAAAGAAACTAAAATGGTTGAACGAAATTCTCGTTTCGATTTTACAAGAGTTTTCAATCGGTTATTCGGTTTAAGCTTGGGATCTTATCGTTTCTAGTTTGGGTCACAGAAAAGAAAAGGAAAAAAAAAAAAAAGAAAAAGAAAATTAGAGAAAAATGTCCACGAAACGCGTCTACGTGCGGTTGGTGTGTACGTGTACGGGGAAGAAGCAAGGGTCGCAAGAGGGATGCAAGCTGAAATTTTAACGAACCTCGGCCCGCACTTCTAACTCTCTTCCCAGAGAATTCCTACCAGCTACCAGCCATGCCGCGATTTTTCCCTCCCCTCCCCCTCAAAACACCCTCTCTCTCTCTCTCTCTCTCTCTCTCGACGACCGTGGTCACCAACCGAAAGTGGACGTGCCTGGAATCCGTGCTCTCCCCCCTCCAACTCATTTACGAGTGGTAAGAATTTAATGGAGTATTAACACGGGAGAGGAACTGAGAAGAGTTTCTGGCCGTTGCCAAGTTTTCTGAAACGGGACGACGGGATCTCGGGGAGGACTTGGCACTTGACAGGGTGGAGGAGGGACGTCATATTTTTCTAACGAGAAGAAGGGAAAAAAAAACTAACAAATAAACGTACAACGAGGTTCAACAAAGAGATTGAGCAAAATCAGGGACAATTCTTAGATATTATTAGAAACAAAGAGGAGGGGGTGTGAAATGATACATATCATCGAATTTTTGATTAAAAGGGTAGGTTTCGAAGAGAATTAAGCAAGAGAACATCGAGCTACTTAATTGGAACAAAGAGATAAAGTAAGATAGAGGAGGATGACGAGAGGGAAAGTTTTCACAAACTCGAATCGGGATTAACCATCCATCCATCTCTCGTCGATCGTCTCTGATCTCCCCAATTTAATTCCAACAAGCCGTAACCTGTTTCCTTACGACGAGAGAGAAACTTGGTGGGAAAGGAAGATTCGTAAAAATCCGACCAATTATCGAGGCGAATTAACAAGATCGTTTGTTGTACCTCGACATTCTCTCTGAATCGATCGAGACAAAGGAAGGAAGAAAGAGAGAGAGAGAGAGAGAGAGCCTCCTTTGAAGCTTTCCTTCCTATTAAATTCAACGAATTATTTTTAAACGGAAAAAGAAGGTTCTGGAGACCTAATTCTTCGTTCTGTGTCTCCGATTTCTTCTTCTCGCACGATTTCTTCTTCAATTCCACGAATTACAGAGAAAGCTATTCTGAAGATGCTGAAGAAAGTTTCGAGCTTCTTTCGATCGAATTGTTTTTTTGTACGGTTGTGGTTGCGCATCGCGGGTGTTCGCTCGAGTTACGAGGAAGTTAGAAGGACGGCACGGTCGGTGGTTTTCGCCTCCCTGCATTGACTTCCGGTATCTCGCGGGAGAACAGTTCAACGCTCTTCTTTGCAACGCTCACGAGTCTCGCGGGACGTCGCGTGCAGTAAAATTACAGAGAAGAGGAGGATATCCTCGTTGTTCAGTTGTGCTTCAATCGTACGATCCATTAATAATGGAGTATTTTTTATGATCCATTAATCCGTGCAATTTTTCGATTCCTATCGTGATTCAAATTGGTGAAAGGAACACGTAAGTTTGTGTTGAGAATTGTACGTAACAATGGACGAGGAAAATTTTAAAAACTGAAGAATTCGGAAAGAAAGGAATATTTTCCTATTTTTCATTCGGACAGAAGAGAGAATGAACATTCGTTGGCGTAAAATTCGTAAATAGAGAAGAATTTTTGATCGAACCCTTTCCCCTTTAATTAATTTCAAGATTATTCAGAATTATTGTCGAAGAGAAATTTAAATTTCCACCAGTTTTCTGGTGTTTAATCGATCGAGATTAAAAATATTTTTTCGTTTCGAAAAATCGATTCAAGGGAATTCTTTTTGGAAGACGTCTTGCAATTGATCGGACGATTTAAAATTCACGACGGAATTCGAACGTGCAGGGGAAGAATCTTTGTAAGGATTGGAAAAAACGCTTAAACGTTTAAAAAAAAAAAAAAAAAAAAAAAAAAAAAGCGAAATCAATTTGCCGCTTCTTTCAAATCACGTTTGCAATCACGTTTCTCTCATTAATGTCTCGGGGCGAATTTAAATAAGTAATCGGGCTAAGCAATTAACCGGACGAATCTGTGGGCGTTTGCATGATTTATAACTACGTCATCGGCTTGTTAACCGACCGATATTTAATCAAGCAAATCTGTGTAACGCATACACAGGATTTCCTTTAAGCGCGTTGCATATTGCACAAAGTGGGCGCGCAAACAGTATCATCCCCCACTACCCCCCCGCCAGATTGTTTATACTGCAGTGGTTGAAAATAACGCAAACACCGTTTCTTCGATTTCGATATAAAATTTAACTTCGATATTAAATTCTTCAGCTCAAAGTAAGATTGCTAAACACGCGCCCAGGAATAATATTTTTTCTCTCTCGCAACGAATAAAACGAAAATCACCGGATTGCGAATTTTTATGCAGTCAATGCTACTGCATAAATTTAAATACATTTTGTTCCAATTCTCACGATCGAAAAAGTTTTAGCTCAGACGATCAAAATCAAGAACCTCGTTATTATACATTTTTATACACGCACTTTCGATACACGTCACAAAAGTTTCATTCAATACAGAATTGTGAAATACAGAATTGAACTCATTATTCGTAATATTTAAATCGATAAGACTTATTCACTTATTATATACGAATAAGCGTATATTCGAAAGTCACACGACTTCGATAATAATAATAATAATTTTTCATCTCTCGCTCGATTATTATCGCGAAGAATGGTATACTCGACCGCAGCATCGACAAAAAAAAAAAAAAAAAAGAAGAATCGCAGATACAAAACGCTATCGAAAAGACCAGCGCGCACCTATGGAAAAGGAGCGATATTAAAAATAATTGGGGAGAGCTAAATCCGAAAGGTATTTAAAATCGGGGAATATAAAAGGTACACATCCATCCCCCTATACAGGGGGATAATCAAGCAAGATGAAATCGCGAAATCGATCAGCTCGATGAAACGAGAATTAAATTTATCCCCATCTCCCCCCCCCCCCCCCTCCCTCCTCTATCGATATTACTTGGAACTTTTATGCCCCTTTTCCATTGGTCCACGCGACCCATTAAAGCCGGCCAGTGTGTTTAAATTCTTTTTTCTCGTTAGAAATATTTTACCCGGCCCATTTTTGCCGGGGATAAAAAGCGGTTGGAAAAATATATAAAACGACTCACTCGATACCGAGTGAGGGAAGGAGGGGAGGAGGAGGAACAACGAGAAGCGCGATCATCGAATCGATAGATAACAATATCTAGCATTTCGAGATTGCATATCGCGTTTACAGGGAATCAGGGTTGTATATCGGCCAATTGCCTCCGTTTCCCCATTTATGACGGCAATCTCGCTATTTTCTCGATACATCGGGCTTGAAATAGAATGAGCGGTGCCCTGGTGGCGGTGGCTGTGGTGGTAGGTGGTGGTGGTGGGATAAGCCTGAAGGGGTGTGGAGGATGTTCAATCGATATATATATATATATTTGTTGAATTATTTTTGGGAAGATAAATTTCTGGCCCGTTACCCTTAAATAATCATTGAAAAAAGGGTTTTTCGATTTTTCTAAATTGAGATTATCGTGCGTGAATAATTAATTATAGAGGATATATATTTTTTAATACCAAAATCTTTGAAAATGGAAATTGAAACGTAAATCAAGATTAAGAGCAATATTTTAATTGGAATGATGAAATATCATTTAAAATGGAGATTAAAAATTGGATTAATTAAAAGTGGGGAAATATGGTTACGGATTAAAAATATTATTCTTTCCTTATTAAAAAAATTAAGCTTTCAAAAAACGATACCACTGGATGGGTAACGGGCCAGAAATTTATCTTCCCGAAAATAATTCAACAAATATATATATATATATCGATTCTGTTAAAACAAACGAGCCAATTGTATATATCTACGTGTATATAACGTAAAATGTACTTTTCCTTTTACAACCCTTGGAGGTGTTAGCATAACGTTACTTCACATTACTTTCAAGTTCTGCCCCCTCAAGTAAAATTCCCGCTCTCTTTCCATTTCATTTAAAGCACGAGTAATTTCCAAGTCAAGGCAATCCAACGAACACATTCTTTCCACCAGCCTCCCCCTTCCCCCACGAACGAAATTCCTCCATTATCTTTTATTTTCCTTCCTCCACCTATCCTTGCCACCGCGTAACGATATTTCAAAAAGTTGCAATGTCGAGCGAAAAACAAAAAAAAAAAAAAAAAAAAAAAAGAAAAAAAAGATAACCTACTTCTCGAAAAAAAACCCTCCATACTAAATCATCCCTGTCCTAATAGCGTGGACAAAAAAAGGGAGAAAAAAAAGAAGAAGAAGAAGAAGGAGAAGAAAAAAAAATATACACCTAAGTCCTAATTACTTTCCGCTTTTTCCAACGTTCGCTCTTCATCCAGATGAAACGCGTTGATTCTCGTTAAAGTAACCCAATAAACCCCTCTCTTTTTGCTCGGAGAAGCGGCGGGGAGGGAGGGATAAAATTTCTCTCGGCCGGCTTAACGGCGTTACGAAATATTCGACGCATGTTCCGTAATTCTCGCAGCCCGCCGGCGAAATAAGGGCGAAAAGTTGCAGTTAAGCGCTAATTGCTTTATCCTTACCTCCGTGTCGTGCCTTCGTTGGATCGAGCGTCGCCAACCGGAAACTACGGTCAACCGCCTCCGGAACCAGCAACACCCTCGATCGATTGCTTCCTCGACGATACTCCCCATATAAGATACCGAGATCCCTCCTGAAATAAGTCGAATCCTTCGGTAAATAACTCGACGAAGAAAGTTGTTCTTCCTGGTATTTTGGAGGAAGAAGATAAAAAAAAAAAAAAAAAATACGAATCGAAATTCACGGAATTGATAATAAATACGGGGACGCCTTTATCGGGTGAAATATCATTTTCTCGATAATTTATTCGCTTTTAGAATTTAGAGTGGATTTTTGATCGATTGTTTTCCGATAATTGATAATTCGCGCGGTAAATAGTCCAAAACAAAAGTTGTTCTTTTTCTTTTTTTTTTTTTTGGAAAGGGACTTTGAGAGGAAATTTTGTATTCGAAGGAGAAAGATATATTAGAGTGCGAATTAATCTTGGGAAACTAACTTTTGAAATGTTTTATAGTGATATGTATGTTAATTGACAATTTGTTTGGGATTAATCGAATTCTCGACGGAAGAGATTTGTGTATCGTGCGTATTTTGGAGATTTCAAAGAAATCTATTTTGCTAACGTGGAAAGATATGGCCTGATACAATTAATCGGGCGTGTGAACGGATCGTTGAATGGAAATTTCGAAAATGCTTTGCACGCTGATAATTTTTGGATGATGAAATATCCTTTTTTCGATAATCCATACTTTTAATGTGAAATTCGATGATTTATTCGCGATGTCAGTCCGTTTACCAGGCTGACTTAAAAACGTTTAAAAAGTATAATAAATGGAAACAATAAAAGTTGCGAAACGTAAAATGCAAAATGGAAATTAATGGATATTGAAAGAAAGGATGAAATGTAATAAAAATTGAAATATCGAAAAGTCATATGTGAAAATATATAAAGAACACGTTGCTGTTATACACATTTGTATGAATATTTAATGGTATTCATGTAGTTATACACTATCAATCAAAATCCTCATAAATCTTTAAATTAATTTCATAGAATCAAATAATATATTTTTGCGATTGAAATTGTTTCTAATACCATTTTTTTTTATAATTAAATTATACTTAAATTGAAATTATATTCTCAAAGCTTGACAGAAATTTTTGGAACAAAAATTATCGTTCAATTAAAATCTCTCTGATCTGTCAAAGTTTAATAAATATGTTCAATGAATTTAAAGAAACTTGCAAATTTTTCGATATTTCATAATATTATATATTCTATACGATAAAGGAAAAATTATATCCGGATATTCGTTAACGCGGCTATCTTTTTTTACGTTCGAACGAAGAGTGCGTCGCGACGTATTATCATTATCACCGAGCTCGTTGCATTCGCGTTATTCGTTCAGAATTGCGCTATGCTAGACATGTAGCTCTATATCGAATATCGTGTCACGTGTTTCACGCGAGTTCTTAAGAAGATTGATCGTTGCCTATGTGAGCGTATACTTGTATAACGTATACGTGTATAACGCTTTCGTTTCTCGCTCGAGAAGGTAAATGGTGTTCCTGTATATACGTGCACGCGTTTTCAATGGAGTATTGTTTGCCCAGACATTGTATTTTGAGCACGTTGACTTGATTCTGGAGGTAGTAATTGAAATGCTACCTTATGGAATACAATCTTTAATTCAATGCCATCTCGCAAGTTTTAACGATATTTTATATTCTTTACACGAGATTAACAAGGAATCAAAGCTAAATTTCTAATAATAATTTTAATAAAAATAGTGAATGTGATAATGAAAATAATTAACGATTGTTAAATGTTTATTTATGTAAATAGATATATAATAGATATGATTAATTATGGAGAAATATTATTAAATTACAAAATTGTACAAAAATCAAAATCATTCAAAAATTCGGTCTTTATATTCTCAAATTATTTCTTTGTATATATTTAATTACTTTTCAATTTATTCTCAATTCAAGAACCATCCACAAAACGCTTCCTTCTCTCGAAATTCCACTCTATTCTACAGAACCCAACTACAGCAAACTATTACTCAAACTATTCCTCCCTATATCCAACCTGTCCAAGCTCATACATGTCTCTTCGTTCGAACGTATTTGAGAACGCATCTGCCCCGCCTCGAATAACGTCAACCCACGTGTGTTTGTGTGTGTAACATCAATATTAGCACGCGCATATTCGCGATTCGCATTTGTTTGAACCACCGCGACTTGCACGCGTTTCTCCGTTCTCTTCTGGCATTGTCTTTGCGCCCATGCTTTTCATCATATTCCAGTGAACGTGTATACGTTTATATATATACAGTGTGTCTTGCAATTTTCAGGTTTGCTTAATAATTTTGTGGTTCCTGAAATTAAATATATTACTGTATTAAAAATCATTTCATCTTTCTTAGTATAGTATAAAAATTTGATATGAAAAAAAAAAAGGTTATGTAGATTTTACGAATAGGTTATGTAATTCTAACGAAAAGGTTATGTGAAATAAATGTCACATAATATAATAGCAATTATAAATACTTATCTATGTCTTGATTTTTTAGTAATTGCAAAGATTAATCTATATTATAATTCAAAATTTAAACACTTTTACACGACTTATCCCAATCCATGGATGATGAAAAATATTTTGGATGAAATTGATACGAATAAAAATTACAATTCTCAGTTTTATTTGAAAATCGAACAGAAAATATATATGAGTTTTGAAAATTTTAGGACACACTGCGTATGTGGGACCTGGTGTGCATCTGTGACGTGCATTTGTGATCGAACAAATACACGTAAGCGCAAACTCGTAGAGACACAAGCCAGCCAGCGAGAACGCTTTAACGAACCAGCAACGCCCGAAGCGATCGTGGGAGGCATCGTCCTTGTTTTCCGCGTAATGAATGCGAAATTGAATAACATCCGGCGTCGAACGTTTACCCTAGCCCCGCGAGCTTTCATCGACACGATTCGAGCTAGCTCGCGAATGTCAGCCATCTCATTTCGTCGCGCGAGTTATATTCAGAAGATCATTTGGGCGAGAATGAAGAAGTTTCGATATTAATATATGCTCAAAATCTAGTCATTGCTATTATTATATGTAGTATAAGAGAGAATATCATATCATAATTTGAATAGTGTTATATTTTGAACAATGGAAATTACTTGGACGCGTGATTAGGTTAGATTAGATATACGAAGAGTTATTACTATAATAGCTTGTTATTATTGTAAAAAGTTTAGTTAAAAATGGAAATGACTAATAATTAATTCACTTACTTGTTAAATTACTCTCCATATTTGTTCCAATATATATTCACATTTCAAGCAATTATTTCGAAGCGTCACTTTGATACACTTTACACACGAAATAGATGGCATTGGTATTACGTCTCATATACGTCTCATACTTTCTTCGATTGGAAAATCACGTGATCACTTAACTATTTGCACGTATCATATACCATTCGTATTATTTTATTTCTATTTAATAATATTTGAAGTAATTTATTCTTATTGTATATTTATAAATAGTTTTTATGAAATTTTGATATCGTAGAAATTCACAATTAAATTCATAATTAAATATTTTAATTTTTTACATGATTTTTAGTGAAAAAGAACTATATCGTATTAGCCAATCAAAAAGCAGCTTAGAAAAATAGGTGCGTATGCAGCGAGCCATGTCAGTTATTACTGAAAATCATGGAGGCTGGGTGTGTTTCATCGAAATAGGTATGTAACATTAAATAAAACTTCTTTTTACAATTTATTAAATTAATTATTAGTTAAGTTATTAGTAGTCTAATTCAATGCGTTTATTTGATCATTTATTAAATATTATTAAATATTATTAAATATTATTATATTAAAATTAAGTATTTTTTAGAACTTTTTTTGCTTCACTTTTCATCGATCGTGCATATTCAATTGTTAAAAAATACTGTTAGCTTATATTGAATCAGAATTTGAACTTTATTTTAATATTGTTTTATTTTAATATAATCAATTTTTATTTTATATATTTATTTTGATTTTTATTTTTATAAATTATTCTTCAATTGTTTGTGCAATATCGAAACAATCGTAACAATTAACAATCATGATTTTTATACAAATACCTCGTAAGTAATATATAATAGTGCAAATATTTTATGTCTATTACGCGTTACGTCTATTGCGAAATTTGTATTGCGAAAACATTGTTTATAGTACGGCCTTTCTTTGGTTTGTATTCATCGTATCGGTTTCGATTCGTTCGCTCGTCTTGTTTATATCGAGTCGTAGGACAAATCCCCACTCCAATTTGTAATTCTATAGAGGAAATCGTGGCGCGAGACGTCATTGTAGTGTCGATAGTCGTAGCGATTAGACATATTTCGAATATCGTGTAATTTATTTTCTGCGTAGTTATTTATTTCATATATTTTTTTTATAAAATTTGAGTGTAGTTATTATTTTATTTTAATATTTTATATCTTTTATATATTTACATTGAAATTTCAATTTTATTTTCTATATAATATTAAATAATTAGTGAAATTGCGCAGGAAAAAATTCCAAGATGGATGCCATCATATTTTCTATTCTATTTCTTACCGTTAATTTTCATTTAATTTCAGATATTTGTGACCGCGTGCAATGCGGTTATTAGAGTCAGTGTTTGTTGCGTAAAAATATTTTTAATATTTTTTAGAGCATAATAATTCTAATTAATTTAATTATTAATCATTCGCGAAATTAGAATCAGTGTTTGTTCGCCATTTTTTTTTACAATTTAAACAGATTATTTTTAGTCTTTTATTTTATTTTATTTTTTACATTTTAAATATTTATTGTCGGTATATATTAGAGTCAGTGTTTCTTTCAAAAGTATAAGGCCATTTTATTCTTTAATAGGTAAATATCTTTCTTTCTTATATTTTGTTATATTTTTTTACAATTGATTTTATTATGTTTCTCAAAATATTATATTTTTCCACATTTTGTTTTACAGCATTTATTCCTATATGATGGCGATATTTACACAGTGACACAGTGACTTCCCATCACAGCATTCTTCGCATCAAATGGTGAGTTGCATGCATTTTTGTTCCTCTAATCAGTCAATCATGTCATGGGATAAAAAATCCGCAACGACATGGATAATTGGTTGCATTATCTAGAATTTTGCGTGTATTTATTACTCGTATCAGATCCATGCATTAGTAACATTTCTTTTTCTATGCTTTACTTATCATTCAAGTTTTTTTTTTTGTTAGTAATATGATTAATTTGATAATTAGTTTGATTACATATGTATATATTTGGTATAGTTAATCTTTCGTTACAAAATTTTTTTCATACTTTCAATAATTAGATAAATAATGTCAGAGAGCACTCGAAATTTTTGATTTATTTTTGAGATTAATATTTTAAAACGCGTGACGTAAAGTTCTATAAAATTTCGCGTTTATTTTGTACCTCGTTTGCGGTATCACGCCACGTCAGACACAGTGGTCGAACTTGTTGTTTAGCGTCGTTTAGTAGGAATGTTTCCAATCGATGCCGGGTATCGGTGGTAGAATATTGTCCATCACTTAGAACGCGTCGCGATCGACCAAATGTTTCGTGTCCTCGGTTACTTTGGTCAAGAGGACTTCTATGTGCTATGAATACAACCGATTCAACTACCTGTGGTTTGTTGATGTCACACGGATGAAATATTCGCTGAAACACGAAACATTCGAACTACGTGGTTCATTTAGTGGAATTTCATTTACGTACGTGTAAATGAAAATGATATAAATATTTTTAAACAAAATTGAGATAATATTTTTGGTTTTTGGTCATTTCATAAGAAAATATTCGAAATCAATATCTCCTTAAGCAATTTATTTAAAAATAGTTTAATACAAGCATATTCTCATACGTACAAATTAATTTTTCGTTAAAAATTTCTATCACTATTATTTCTGTATATATATGTTTATATATATATATAATACAGAATGTATATATAATATATGTATATATATGTTTTTATTGTATTGAATTTTTGGGAATATTTATAAAAAAAATTCTATTTATTCCGTTCAATTGATTGGAAAATTCATTTTTATTCATTTTGATCTATTTATTTTTTAAATGGAGTAATTTCAATTTTATAGGCGAGAGATTTATCGTTTAATAAATTCTTTTTATTGTAATGAATTTTTATCGGGTTTATATCGAATTTATAAAAATTGCATTTATTTGTTTATTCATCTTAATCTATTTGTTCTTCAATAGTTATTTATGCAGATAAATTGTTCGATCAATTTTTCGCAACGAAAAATTTTTTTTATCATTATGTATTAGATATTTTAATTTATTTATTTTTTAAAAGTAGGAATTTTACAAATTTTTTTAACAATATTCGGTTAAATTTTTTTTAAATAAATTATCATCTACGAATACGTATTATGTATTCAATTATTCAATCTTTAGTAACTTTTTCGCTCACAAAGAAAATTTCAGTTTTACATTTTAATAATTTAAATAATGTTTTTATAATGCAGTATTGTTTTCAATGCATTATTACTTATTTAATGCGATTCCCTATCACGTACGAGTGATATTATTTAACTGAATTATTCATTCGTTAAAATAATCCACTATATTTATTTTCCGTCATTAATAAATGAATGAATAATGCGACGATGAAAATTACCGGTCATTTTCAAATATTGAAACTTCGAATTAATTCCTTGTCTGATAACAATATCTTCGAGATGTCATGGATTTCTAGAATAATCGAAAGACGTCGTACAATTTTAAAACTTATTCATAGCAAATTTTATTTCACTCGACGAAAGTTATTTTTTTAACGAACATATCAGATAGAATTAATGATTATTCTTCACAGGTGTTATTAAAAATATAATAAAAATAAATAAGCTTTTCGAAATCTATCATTTCAATCACTTCGTAACCAATATATATATATATATATATATAGGTAGATCTTGCATTTATTTTCATCCATTATTATTCATATTTTTATCGATACGCATTTGGATATTTATCGATATTAACTCGTAATAAAAGGAGCGTCGTTTTTTAATTACTTCAAATGAAGTACGTACTCCATGATCGATTCGTTCCTTCGATTCTTTACGCGATTAATGCCCCACAATTGTGAAATTCCTCTTCATCCGCGAAAAATTAACTCTTGCACAAGCTTGATAGCGATGGTACAACGTATGCAGGAGACAAAGTTGCTCCGGAGAGATTCCAATTCACCCACCTTCTCTCTGTCATAGACAAACGTATTAACTCTTCTCTTGCTATACGGGTAGCCCGTGTTATCGTTAGTCTGACCGCGAATGACAGGTGCAAAAAAGGGAAGAGACTGTGATTCTTTGTGTTAAAGATAGTGGCAATATGGACACGATATTTGGATATACCTCGTACTTGCATTCTCTGTTCTTTTTTTTTTTTTTTTTTTTTTTTTTAAATCTCGTCCATTAGAATTCGTGTACGGCAAGCGTATTTTTCCGAAATAAGAGTTTTAACTCGTTCGTATATTTTTTCTTAAAATGGATACATCGGAAAGGATGAATTTTCTTTGTTGATTTAATTTCTGCGGGGAAGAAGTTTGGTGTTTTCATTGTCTCGCTCGCGCTAGATCGGTTTGCGTTGGAAAAGAAAAATGAGTGGAAAATCGCGCGTTTATTAAGCGTTTATTAGATAGGAAGATAGTGTCGATTTTTGGGAATGAATAAATTATTTTATTACGCGTATCATTTTGAATCATTTTAATCCCTTTGCAGATATTTTAATTTATTTAATTAGAATATTTTACATACACTCTCGAGAACGATTATTAAGTGGATATTGATTTTTTCGTACATTTTCACAATTTTATTTTCATAATCCATATCACTTTAATTCAAACAAACAACAAAACTAGAATTTTTATTGTGACGCAAAATCCATTTTATCTTCTATCTCGAGATCAAAGATCGATGTAACATTTCAACCCGAACAATATATCGTATTCTTCTATATTCACGTTATATAAATAATATGGGAATAAATTCAAATAAATTCTTCGACAGTCCGAAAAGTATCTCGATTTCAATTCTCCAAAAATTTCCATCGATAATCGTTCGTGAACCCCGGGGAAGGGGGAGGGGAGGGAACAGGCGTTCCTCATATAGTACCATAAGCGGGAAAGAATTATCGGGAATGCGCAATTCAAGATGGCATCCAGCCAGATAATCCGTGGAAGCGAGTCAACGAGAAAAATATAAAAGCGGCCCTTTCACGAAACAGCGCGATACGAAATATCGAGGGGAGGGAAGAG